CTGGGTCCTTTTACCAGCCACAATAAAATTGGTTATGCCAGTACTGTCATAAACTGTAACCAACTACTTAAAAATTAGATATATATTTTGCTTAAATTTTAAATTTTAAGTCATAAGAGCAATCTTTTTATTTTTAAGATTTAAGAGAAATATTTTACCCTAACTATGATGTGGTGGCATTTCATACTTAACTAAAATTTAACTTTGAAAGTCAATATATTATTAGCATTAAAAAATGCAGCCGCACAAGTTGGTCTTGCTATGAATGCTTCTAAGACCGAGTTCATGACCATCAACATCCACTGTCGACTTACATTCCATCTCAGGCCGCCAGATTAAACAGGTTGATGACTTTAAATACCTCGGCTCTTTCATTGCGGACAGTAGAAAGGATTTCAACACAAGGAAAGGAATGGCCTGGTCAGCCTGTATTAAACTGCAAAAAGTCTGGTCCTCTGGTATTTCCGAACAACTGAAAGTCAAGTTCATTAGAGCCTGTGTCGAACCAGTAATGCTCTATGGATCAGAGACATGGACCATAAACAAGCAGCTTGAGAAGCGCCTCAACGGATGCTACACCCGTCTTTTGATGAAGGCCAAGAACATCTCGTGGAAGAAGCATCCAACCCTCAAGCAGATCTATGGCAACCGTCCATCTATTGCCTCAGTGGTTGCGTCGAGGCGTTCCAGATTTGCTGGGCATTGCATGAGAGCTTCTGACCAAGTTATCTCCTCTATCCTCCCCTGGCGACTTGCCCAATCCGGCCCTGGAAGGAGACTACTCACCTTCCTGGACGTAGTAGCTCGTGACACTGGGCTCCATTTAGTAGTAAAACAAATTTTAGTAAAACAAATTTAAATTTTGGTATTTATTAATAACAATCAAAACATATCATATCATAAAAATAAAGCCGCGCGTTGGTTGACTGCCTCAGTATGGTGAATAATTTAAGCTTGAAGGTGCCCTGCGCATTTACAGAACATTATGCGGCGATCACATGATCACGAGGACCTGTGAGCGCCAAATTTAATTTAAACTTTCTAGAAATCGTACATCACTACGAGTTACTCATGCTTTTGAATTATAGGAGTGCGGATTGTCATGTATTTCATTCATTCATACTTAATCGGTTTAAAGCTGTATATTTAGAGCTCACTATTGTTTGAACTATGAAAGCAGAACGTAAATAATGGACAATATACCGACGACAATACCAAGGACCCGAGTGCCGCATTGACTTTTCCGGATCCGTTTTTACCGAAGGCTTATCCACCAGTTACTCATGCTGCATGTATAGTCTGCTAATATTTTGTTTTATCTCTAGCAAGCATTCTGTAAGTTGGAGTGTCGTATTTATTATAGAAGAGCCAGCCAACCTCCGCATTACAATCTTTTGTATGCCAGGTTCGTTTATAAAATCTAATCATATAATAAGATTGATCCAATAGTCTAAGATGAACGGTATATCTTAGCTCATCGTTATTAAAATCCTAATGGATGAATTAATCAAGTAATGTTCCCTTCCAACACAACTAAACAACAAACAAATGCTTGCTCACCAGTGGCGACGCAATCGTAGGGGCATGCAGTTGGTTCAGATAACTCCCACCCCGACGACAGCGTCGAGAAATTATCAAATGATGCATTTGCGCCATACTGGACACATTTTATATTTAATATTTTGTGGTTTGTAGAAATTAGTGTCATCTAAAGTATAGCTTAACTGGCGAGCAAGCATCGTCCCACTCGGCGGGGACGAAAATACCGAGTCCAATCACAGAAAGTTAACCAAAAGATAAAAACAAGAGCTCGGATATCAACAAAAATCACACGCTCCAGACGACGGGGGAAGAGAGGATAGGAAGTAAGCTGCTGGGCTCAACAAATTTTGATAATTGTAAACAAATTTGTTCTTGCGCCCTATAATAATTTGGTATTGAGGTATGACCCTGTACTGTGCGTGATAGTGAAAATGAAAGTGAATGTGAATCTGTAATGCGAACGAAATTATGAGTTATGGCCAGACGATTCTTCAATTTCAAAATAATAAAGTCAAAGGACTCTGTTTTAAAATACAAGCTCATTCTTATCGAAGTTTAATTCTGTCCATTCTAAATCTTCGTACCTGGACTGTATCTTGAGTAGCTCACTTTTCAGTGTTACTTTAACTAAGTTCGTTGACTTAGTAAAGCTTATCATACTGTCAATTTTTCGACAGTCGTTCCACATTTTTGTTGATTGATAAATGAAAGAGGAGGATGGGTTCGGGGTGATGAACTGGTCTGAACGTCTTTGTGATGGTGATCTGTGAAGTAAAGATAGGAGTGAGATTGGAGATTCTAATCTGACAATTTTGAACAGTTCTAATAGACATGTGTATTTGTACAGGTTGTGGACGGTAAGAAGGCCGTTCTTGTTAAACAACGGCTTTGTATGCTCTTTTTCAAAGAATTCTCTTCCTAGGATTTGTTCATCTATACAACGTGTTCTGGCACATGTTCTAAATTTATCTAGATATGCTTCAAGGTCACCAAATAGTATTCTGATACATTTTTTCTGAGTGATGAAGATAGGTTGAAGCATATTATTACTCGACCCACCCCATACCGATATTCCAAATCTTAGGTGTGACTCAAATAACGTGTGGTACAATTCTTTATGGTGTTTTTTCGGGATAACGTGTCGTATTCTACTGAGTCTTCCGATCTCACACCTAAGTTTCGAGTTGAGGGCTCTTATTTGAACATCCCATTTTAGCTTTTCGTCAATAATAACACCTAAAAACTTGGTCTCTTTAACTTGCTTTATTACCGTATTATTTAGAGTTAGTATATATTCTGATTCGTTATCTGCCTCATTATCAGTAGCTGTACGTGACGGATTGAAGTGAATGTAGCAGCATTTCTTTATATTTATATGTAATAGATTGCATTTCATGTACTGGTGTAACAAACGGAGAATTTCGTTTGCTCTTGCATACAGTTTTTTTCTACCTTCATCTACTACGAATATGTTTGTGTCATCTGCAAATAGTATGAATTTGCCCAGATCAGTTGTTCTAAATAAGTCGTTAACATATATTATAAATAGCAAGGGTCCGAGACAAGAGCCTTGGGGAACTCCAAAGAGAACAGGCAGCTTGTCAGACTCTTCGCCCAGTACAGAGACATATTGATATCTATTAGAGAGATAACTAGCGATGAGTCTATTGGCGTTTCCACGTATTCCATAGTTGTCTAGTTTATTAAGTAGTTTTTCATGTGAGATCGTGTCAAACGCTTTAGATAGATCAATAAATATTCCAAGTACATGCAGTTTTTTGCTAAGACAGGATTCTATGTAATTCACTGAGGAGTTGAGGGCATGGCTTGTGGAGTGATTTTTTCTAAATCCGTACTGGTTCTCGTAAATCATTTTCTGGGACTGAAAGAAGCTATACAGTCTGTTGTAAATAATTTTTTCAAATATCTTACCAAAAACAGCTAAAGTTGATACTGGCCTATAGTTTTCCAGCAATTCCTCATTATCCTTCTTATACATCGGACTGATTCTCCCAGTCTTTAAATCATCTGGGAATACTCCATTCCTCATGCATTCACTGTATAATAAAGATAGTATAGGACAGATCACTTTAGACGATTCTTTAACTACATGTATTGGGATGTCGGATGACTTCCCATTCTTCAGTTCAGATATAATCATTCTAACCTCGTCAGCTGTACAGTCATTAATGAAAATACTGGACGTGTTTGCTCTAGGCAGGTAGTCATAAAAACTAGGAAGATTGTTAATAGTTAGTTCTCCAATTTCATTATATGCCCCGTTTAAATTAGACGCTAGAGAAACAAAATACTTATTAAATTCATTGGCTATTACTCTACGATTGGTTATCTTCTCATTGTTTATAGGAAACAGCGGTTTTATTTGCCGTTTCTGTTTGCCCCGTATTTGATTAATCAGTTCCCATGTCTTCTTACTATTACCGTTTGTGTCTGCAAATTTTCCCATGAAATACTTAGTTTGAACATCTTTGCGATCTTTTTTAACCATCCTTCTATAATCCTTATAAGTTTTGTATCTAGAACGTTTTTCACAACATTTCAAGCATTGACATGTTCCACCTTTATAATCAGTTTCACCGAGTTTACATTTTTTCTTTCTAACTTTAGCCCAATTGTCATAGAGTTGGTGCTGATGCTTGATTTTGGCTATAAGCCCAGGTGTGATCCATGGGTTATTTTGTGTAGTTCTTTTGGAAGACTTAGGGGTTGCCAACTTACACGTTTTATCGATACTACTTTTGAAAACATCATGAAATACCGTGAAGTTGTCAATTACTTTATTCTCTAATTCATGTTCCAAGTCCTTTACAAAAGAGGTAACATTAGACTTACAGTAGTCGTAATATTGTTTATATTTTAGGTTACTCTTAGTGGATCCCATACTCTTTTCAAATATTTGAAAGACTGGTGAGTGGTGGGATATACGATCAGTAAGTGTGCCTGAGGCTATTATACTCTCTACATCGTTAGTTATAATATTGTCAATACACGATACTTTACAACCTGGCTTCTCATGAGTTGGCAGAGATATTAGGGGAAAAAATCCTCTACTGAACAGGACTTCCTCATAACGTTTTACAATTGCATTATCCTTATTATGTAGATCAATGTTGAAATCACCTGCCAGGTAACTGCATTTCGGCAAATTATCGAGAATTGCTGAGAGTTCTAATAATGCAACATTTACATCACCACTTAGACGACCTTCGAACTGTTATGTGCGATCGAGACGTGTGGAGGCAGACAGTGAATGGGATTTCGATTGAGGATCGCCCAAAGTAAGTAAAAAGTAAGTATATTATAAGTGATAACAAAATTATAGTTTAAGATATCCATTATGCATTGTGTTTCCAATATTAGAATTTATGATATGTATTTATTGAATAATTGGTAATAAATTTAACTTTTGTTTTATTAACTTTTGTTTTATTAACACTACTATATAACAAATAATTTGAGATCATGAATACGATGTTGTAACATTGAAAAGTTGAGTAATTCCTTTCCTGATAAGAGCATTTTTCTTTGTTGCATCAAACGGGATCAATACAAGTCTACACAAGAATACATTGCAACCATGCGACTCATAAACAATACTCCAATCCGGATTTTACAAGATGTCCATACACTTTAACTGTGTAAAATTACATTCAATTTTGTACAAATCAAATCAATGATGCTTCTCCAAGTTCACATAAGTATAAGCGATCCCGAGGAGGTAGATGTTCATCTAACAATTAATTGGCAGTTTATAAGGCCTAGGCCCTGTACCAATTGCAGCTTAGTGGACTAGCCGGAGTTACCCACTGTATAATTTTCAAACCAGGGACCTCTGGGCTGCCAAACCAAAGTGAGAACCACTAGGCTAAGGCGCAGAGAAAATTGATAATTGATTTAGTTTGATGGAAATTCAATGCAAATGGGATGATTATTAACCACACTACACTCCTTGTCATATTTAATAGGGGCTAAGAGGCCCAGCGGTTTTATGCAGAAGGTCCAAGGTTCGAATTCCAGTGTCACCTATTTTCGGGAGATAGGTAAGAATCCGATTGATCTATGCAAAGTAACACATATGTGAAATGTCTCCTCGGTCGACTCAGCTTGATTGTTGTGGACGGTCTCTACCAAAAGATAAATAATCTTTTCAGTGTACCCCTTCATTACATCTTCATTGTAGTGTACTGCAAACATAGTACTATATTATATTACATTATATTATACTATAAAATTTAAACTTTGTTTTAATTAAAATTTTGTTTTACATATATCATGTGACTAACTTTGACAGGTTTTCTGTGCACTATTTCGTTTGATAAACTAGAGAGTCAGAGACCCTTATTTTCAATTCTGACCCACAACCCCTATACTACCAAATTATTAACGCAAACACCTGCCCAAACCAGATCTCTAGAGTCTAGTCATAAAATAAATTTGACCTTCTTCTTTATGGCCATGGCACGCTATTATTTATTTTGCCAGTTTTTGCCGATGACTCCTCGAGGATATGATATGAAGGATCACCATTTACGATTTAAAGCGTATGACCAATGACATACTTTTAATTTATGAAATAAGTGGCATGAGTTGGCCCAACATTTTTTCTTCGATATTAATAAATTTTGTTGTAAAATTTGTTTCAAATGGTAAATAATATAATTGTATTGTAAAACATAATATTAGCTAAAAATATTTTACAATGTTTGTGGTTTTGTCGTCGCGCGCGTCTTTTTTCGCGCAAAATGTCCAGTTTTTATAGATTTTGGGTTAAAACTTCCACAATATTCTTCATTGTTAATGGATTAGCCCTGTACGCGCTATTTCGTAGCACTTGCCTCGGGCCAGACATTTCGAGAAGAAAGTGGCGCGCGCTACTTCGAAGAAATTTAGGCGAGTAACATCCGTCAACCGCATGCACATGCAATGTCTGGTGTCTGTTATTTCAAAATAATTTGTATATTGTAATCAGATTTACCTATATTGCTAGTCAATCGCTTGACCATTGTTAATGATCTGGCCCGGCGCGCACTACTTCGTAGCTCGTGCCGTCGGGCCACAACATTTCGAGAAAAAAGCGGCGCGCGCTACTTCGAAGAAATTTAGACGAGTAACATCCGTCAAGTCAATCGCTTGCTACTTTTATATAATGCGAGAAGCTCGAAAAGAGCGCTGTGCATATCATTTGGACTGGCGTGCCAGGTAATATAGTGATATAATAATCAAGTGATACTATACAATACTTTCAGCATGAGCACTGATATATAATATAGATATTTTAAATTTGAAGAAATGTTATTTTGATTTTCAAAATTTTTGATCCTGACCAGAAAAAAAATTTTTGGATTGTTTTAAAAGTTTTTGAAAAATGTGGTCTTTGCGAAATAATTTTTATCCAGTTCCTATTGCTGTAATTATTGTTTCCCGATCATTTGGCGTGTTTTAGAAATATTAATATTTTTAGCTTTGTGTAAATATAAACACTTTTTTTTAGATATATTTTGTTTTATATTGTCTATTTCCAGATTTATTATTTGTTATTGATTATGCAATTGTGAAAAAAAATTGAAAATTCATTGAAGCCTGTAATAATTCGAATTTCATCATTTTCATGGCGTCGTTGATGGTTGAGCTGATATAAAAACATACATGAAAGCATGGTGTAGTAAAGTTCGATGGCATGTAGTTTTAACGCTCCCACTAAATCGCTCGCTGCAGTTAACAATTTTATGTTAATAAAATAATGGTTATAATGGTGAAAAAGCCTTGATGTGAGTGTATAATGTATGAAAGCACTTTAGTTTAGTGTATTTCTGTACGCTGATTTAGATGTAGTAAAACAAGAATTCTGTTGTTTAGGGCTTATCGGGTTAAGGTATTATAGGGTTGTGGTCCAGTGAGGGTTATGGATTAATATTTGATATTACAAAGGGATTTATTTTCTACCATGGTTTTTAAAATTTTCTACCGTTTTATTGGTTATTGTATTCATTTTATCGGTTTTTATTTTGGGGTGTCAAATCTTATATCTGGACAATGACGATTGCTATATTATGTGCATATTGTTTGAATACTTTTCTATTATGTACGAGATCTTTTAACAGAACTACTCTTCTTCTACAAACCCTCAATTCACGGACTTCCCGATCATTCAGCTTAGTCAACCTTTGTGCTTTGGGATTGCATCGAAATTCAAAATCCTTTACAGGTCTCAAACCCACAATCTTTCGATCACGAGCTCCTCTAATCCATTTGTCATAAAGTAAAGTAAATAAACTTAATGAAAGCCTTTATCTTATCTAACGGGTCAGCAATATTCAGACTCAGTTACATATCTTAGAAAGCGCTTGCGCTTTAAGGTATTAAAGACGACAGTTATTTCGATAAGGGGGGACAGAGGGCCCAAGTTGCAACATAAACCAGACAATATTGAAGATTTAGATTTAAATATTGAGCCCTTTGGCTCAGTGACGTAACGTTGCCTGTTGGCGCCCCCCTGCCGAAAAAAGCGCCCCCCTGTTGGCGCCCCCTCCCCTTTTGGTGCCCCTCCCTAAAATTGAACAAATTAGGTGATTTTAGAGAATACGCCGGTAAAATCTCTAAAAAAGTGTGTATCTAGAGCAGAACGCGCAGTTTTGCTAGTACTTTAGTTAAGTTTTCGAAATTGTCCCACATTCAAACGACGATTTGGCACCCCCCTAAGACGGCGCCCTCCTGCACAGCGGGGTCAGCAGGGCCTTTCGTTACGCCACTGCTTTGGCTAGAGAATACTTTCTTAGATATTTTGGACAGTTTTTAATATTGGTAATGTTAATGAATTGTAATTGATTGATATGTAACATTTAGGCCCGTGGCCAGTTTTCATAGAGATTGGGGACACTAGCGGGTTTCAACCTCACATCAGATACCAGTTTATAATATTCGTGAGTCGTGCTGGTCTGGAAATCTTCAGCAGCTGATTCTGCCTGCACTGTCTCAAAAGGGAAGTTGACGTGATGATGTCCGTATCATATGATATATATCGTCACGCTTTATGTAATATGGCCTAGAAGTAACTGCCGACATGCAATCCTTTAATAACTCACGCAATTCTTGTCTGACAATTAAATAGAACAATTAAATAGAGCCTTTTTTATATCCTGAAAATCTATGCAAATCACAAAAATGGAAATGTCAGAGTAGCTCTTCTAACCAAAGTAAAATAAATTTGCCACAATTTGGGTTTTTGATCCCTTTCTTGGCCTCAGACTTTAGCACAGTAAAACCCTTAGTTACAATACAGTTTAGGGAAAGGAAAAAAAAAACAGAAATCTGGGTTTTGTCTAAGTCGGATCACATGGTTTCACCCCCAACAATATTGATTCCTAAGGGGCTATAGTTGACAAGCACTCAAATGAGCCGTATAAAAGCTACAGGGAAGTAACGTGCCTGACAAGTTTTCTTGATATCATGGTCCTCTATATAACCCATATTTCAGAGGATACTGTAAAGAGGGGTACGGTAAATAGGGCCAGGGGTTTACCGTAATTTATCGTCTTCAGCTTATATCAACAGATGACCAATAAACCCTCCATAATAATATGTTAATAAACTTTATGTTAAATTCAAATTGGATTATTAAATTTAAAGTTTCACTCGACTGTTATACTAACCAGTGATAACAACAATAGCTTCATCATGGAATTGTGTCTATGTTGCTTCCAGCCCCGAGATGTAAGTATTTCATATTTACCTGATTAGCTGTTGATAAATTCACCCTATTATTTAAGTATTTAGAGCTAACAATACAAGGTTTGATTATCGTTGATTTATTAACTGAATCCAACAAAAGAACTAACAAACTAATATTAACTGTCACTCAACAGGGACTGAAGGATTCTGATCCTCTTTTACCACCCATGAATGGGCAAGGAAGAGCTGAGCCCCCTGCTCCTGAACAAGAAAAGGTAAATCTTGCTGCTTTGTTAAAAGTTTAATTGTACTCAATATCCATGCTGGCCAAACCCTGGTTGCATATAATGTGTTCATTGAACAGCCAGGTGATAGTATGATCATAATATTGATTATTCCAGGTTATCAGGGAGCAGTTCACAGAGTATGAACCAGACATGAAGCCCGTGCCCTCCAGCGACACACAGCCCCTTCTCTCAGACCCCTGTACGTTCGTCACAAACCCTCTCTTTAATCAAATCTTAAATTTTCTGTTTTATCTATAAATAAATGTTGCATAAATATTAAATACACGTCAATTCAAGACAGTAGTCAATTTTCATTTACCAAGGCCATGGCTGTGCTCTTCATACGCCAATGATCTATACTGTGACTTAACACCCACTCATCACCAACTGTGTCATCGCCACCCCACCAACCATGTCATCGCCACCCCACTAACACACTCTGTTCCCAGCACCTGAGGTAGACGAGGAGTGTCCAGCAGCAGCAGCAGCTCCAGGTAACGGGAGGATTAAGGATGTGCTGACGGAGGCGAAGTTTGCTGAGATCAACTCTAACAAGGATCCGGTTATGAGGAAGAGTGATAGTAACAAGAACATTGCTGGTTTCAGGTGAGATTGGGAGGGGTCCTGGTCTACAAATGCATAATTTACAATCGTTTGTATTCGTATTATATACTGAGGTATGAGGTCTCAAGCGGGACCAATGTTATATTGCATATTTTGATACAATAATATGATGGGGTGTGGAGTTATAACCAAATGAGCACAATATGTTTCTGTCAAGTAAGACACACTCACCCCTCTATCTCTCCCAGGGACTCACTGTGTGAGCCTACTGCACCCCGACTCTACCCGGAAGTGCCCAAAACACCTGAACCAGTCAGGATTGTTCCTGTTGTTCTTCCTGTAGAGCAGGAGACAATCGATCTTACACCAGCACCTCCGGTACTGTTTTGTCCGCTTTATCTTTTTATCCAATATATTTTACTAATAATATCATAATCACAAATTTGAAATGTTTCGGTCTCTATTTCTTATTTTCAATTCGAAATCTTCGAACTCGCCTTTGACTCGCCTTTGACTTGATGATCACATAATATTGATAATCCTTCTTTCTAGGCTCCAGTTGAAGCTGCCGCAGCTGTAGAGGTACCTGCAGCTGTAGAGGAGCCAACAGCTGTTGAGGAGTCATCTGAAGGCGAGTACGAGTCCGGTGAGGAGTCATCTGAAGGAGAGTACGAGTCTGAAGAATCTGAGGAGGAGGAGGAGGAGGAGGTTGAACCTGAGGTAACCCTCCAAGGTGAGATATTTTATAAAAATATGTTCGAAATTTATGTTAAACATGAATGCTCCGAATCTTCTTAGAATCGCATAATTGTAAGTTGTAATTACCTTTGGCTGTTTTGGGTAAGTTTTCAAGCTTCATTTCTGTAGAAAATACTGCTATTCTCAGTATTGAGTATTGACTGACCTATTTGTACAGAGCCTGAAGTAGAAGCATCGGTTGAGACAGAAGTCAAGGTTACAAGGGAACCAGAGAGCTTCGTCATCGTACCAGAAGAGGTAAATTTCACTAATGTTACTGATTTCAAAATGAGTGGCCTCACTGGCCACCCACAAACTCTAAATACCAACCCACAAACTCTAAATACCACAGCTGTCAACTGAGTCGGTTGACCAGCTGCTGACTTGATCTATTAAATCTATTTGAAAATCACCTGAAAATCACCTGAATCTTTACTCTGCCTACTTGTATCCCAGATAAAGACAGCACGTATCTAATTCATAGTGTCTAATTCGTTTGTGTCATAAACAGACTAAAGTGGCATATTTGTAATGTTATCTAACATTCCTGTCATTCTGGGTTCATTTTATAAGCGAGCTAGAACTGTATAACCTAGCTAGACTCATATATATAGCCTAACTAGAACCATCATGTCGCCCACTGTTAAACTTAATATGCAATATTATAATATAATATATTTAAACATGGTTGTTTAATTCACCTTATAACCTAGTTAAAATGTCACATTCTAATATACATATCAATATATTGTGTAATGGTTTTTTGATCAGCCTATATTGAACCTTAACATAGTCCGAACTCCGAAGTGGTAGTTAAATGTTATACTGACCATCGTTTAGACTATTTTAGGAGGCTCTAAAAAATGGATGGTTACCGTAATGGGTGCCACAGCCCACATGCCTAACATGAAATATTTACCTACTTACTTGCACTTGTGTAGGTCTGTAGAAGCATTAGAATCGGGCGTTGTCTGCCACAGGCTATCCCGAATTTAGAAGCTTGCTTTAATAATACGAGGCTCTGAAAACCCCATATTATTAAGTCCCGTGCTGGTTACGTTAATGGGCGCGATAAAGAAGCGCTATCTAAAATGTAGTACTTAGTAATGATGCGAGCTGTTATATATATTAATTTATATAACTTCTTAGCGAACAGTACGTACCCCTTTACAGAGATAGTACTTAGTAATGATAAAAGTACGAGCTGTTATAACTAACACGTGCTATAATTTGCAATATTACAGTAGCTAAAAGTAATTTATGTTCTGTAGTAAACTTTCCAAATTTGTGGAGCTGTTAATAGTGTTGATTGTTCGTTGGGTCTGAAGAGTGTGTGTTGGTTAAGTAATTGGGTTGTTAATTAAGTAATTAAGTAATTGGGTTGGTCGAGAACCTCTTACATTTCCTGGCTCAGCGCCAAATTTTGGTTACACAAAAACAGTATTATAGCGCTGGAAACCGGAAAAGTGCTTCCTAGCAGTAAAACAGTGTGAAATAGTGAAACAGTGAAACAGTTGGGATAGTTAACCACTAACGTGTAGTCAGATAACAAATAGTATAGTCTGTGTAGTTCAACAGATGGTTCAATAATATAGCAAGTCATTAGTTCGTATTATAAAACAGACCCTGTCCTCTCCGTACGTGTAAATCGCTGTAAAACTGTTTGTAGCGAGTCACGTGACCTGTGTAGCGTACACTACTACTGCTACTAGGTCGCAACTAACTCTGATCTACGTCAGATAACCCCCTCCAATCTCCATATACATATATCCCACACCAGGTCACCAGGGTTCCCAGTTCCTCTTTAGAAATAGAGCTTGTTCCAACTTCCTTCAGTAACACAAATTGCTTCGTCTCTGTAAGGTGTGCAGCGTGTGTAGCAAGTCTCTGTAAGGTGTGCAGCGTGTGTAGCAAGTCTCTGTAACGTGTGCAGCGTGTGTAGCAAGTCTCTGTAACGTGTGCAGCGTGTGTAGCAAGTCTCTGTAACGTGTGCAGCGTGTGTAGCAAGTCTCTGTAACGTGTGCAGCGTGTGTAGCAAGTCTCTGTAACGTGTGCAGCGTGTGTAGCAAGTCTCTGTAACGTGTGCAGCGTGTGTAGCAAGTCTCTGTAAGGTGTGCAGCGTGTGTAGCAAGTCTCTGTAACGTGTGCAGCGTGTGTAGCAAGTCTCTGTAACGTGTGCAGCGTGTGTAGCAAGTCTCTGTAACGTGTGCAGCGTGTGTAGCAAGTCTCTGTAACGTGTGCAGCGTGTGTAGCAAGTCTCTGTAACGTGTGCAGCGTGTGTAGCAAGTCTCTGTAACGTGTGCAGCTTGTGTAGCAAGTCTCTGTAACGTGTGCAGCGTGTGTAGCAAGTCTCTGTAACGTGTGCAGCGTGTGTAGCAAGTCTCTGTAACGTGTGCAGCGTGTGTAGCAAGTTGAAAACATTCTCCTCAGTTAAAGTGTGGGACACAGTGTGGGCCACAGCTTCCTTGATTCCTAATACCACGTCCTGTGAATATGTGGCATATTTCGGTGTAATAACATTACATATTATTATAAACATAATTATTACGCTACGGTGAATATAATATTACACACAGTACACGGAGAGTTACATTATCAACATGTACGTTCCCTTGTTTTTATAAATTATATCATATAAATTGTTTTACCTTAGATCACTTTTTTTATTATACAAATTATATTACATAAATTATAAAATATGTTACCTTAGATCGCTCCTTATATTATATAAATTATATTATATAAATCATATTACATACGTTATCTTACATTAGTTCTGGCTAAAACCCTGCTCACCTGATGAAATATCTCTTTCATGTGACATTTAAACTTGATTAAAGATCACAATATGTACATGAGCCTGTGGTAGCGCCGCGCAATGAGCTTAAAGTTTACAAGACTCTTACAAAATCATGTGCGATGAGCGATTAATTAATTAATTAATTAATATATCACACTGAGTCTATGGTACTGGTAACAGGTTATTAACAAGCCTTTTAGTGTAATACTGAACTAGCAATCACAATGTCACGTGATATCCTTTTGATAGGTTTAACCACATCACATACGAATAATCAATCTATCGAACAGATGTAATAATATTGGGATAATATTTTGGCTTTGAGCCCAGTATTCTGGTTTTGAGCCCAGTATTCTGGCTTTGAGCCCAGTATTCTTGCTTTGAGCCCAGTATTCTGGCTTTGAGCCCAGTATTCTAGCTTGAGCCCAGTACTCACGGTTAAGTTTAACCTGCTTCTTTGTGATAAACCAACCGATCCCTGTGGGAATTTACTTTATTTACTAAACTATGAGACACATGAATAGATAGTACTGAACAGAACAGTTCAGGAATGTTTTGTTATTGGAATGCGTTGCAGATAGCTAGCATTTATAGGGATACCCACTTACTCACAACTCTGAGCAGTTCCTGTTAAACTCTGTGTTCCTCTTTGTTAAACCTCACAATAGTTGAAACTTGGTCAGTCACGTGACTAGTGAGGGAGACTTCTCTGAAAAGGAGACTGGAGTTAATATTACAATTATTACTTACATATTATTCAACATAATGATACATGACAGTCTGGGAATTATTCACATTATATCGATTCTGTACTTGCTTTTCTGGCCAAGCGTGTGAATAAAGGAGACAAAAATTAAGAAAAGGAGAATAAGTAAATCAGTAGGTTTTGTACCAAGAAGACTTTAAGATTAAGACTTCTAACTTCTCAAGGAAGGCTTTACAATCAAGGCTTCTAAATTCTTCATATTATCGTTGCACAATGCACTTCACTTACGTATTCTTCATATTGTGCAACATTTTACTATCAGTAGACAGTATGTGGTATTGGATAGATCATTAGGTAATCGGTATCAACCAGCTAACCAAAAGATATCATACGTCAGAAACCCGCTTTAAGTTTAATTAGTTTATCGTTACCTTAGAGATATCTGACGTTATTTATTAAAGAGTATACTTAAACCCTAACTTAGGTTTTTAAGGTCCCTGATAAGGTAACGTATTCTAATGATATTATTAGCTGTAACCACGCACGGTAAGTTAAGAGTTTAAGGATTAAGGAAGTTCACGTTTTTGCAAGGTATTAACGTTTTTGTCCATCGCTGTATCTTTGAAAGTAAACGAGATACAGATTAGCTTTTTTGGATATCTCATTTTTACTGTAAAGTGACCTAGTGTGTTATGCATCAAAATCGGCAAACTTTAAAACTCGTCGTCCCTAATGAGTTAAGGAAGTTCACGTTTTTGCAAGGTATTAATATTATTTATCAGTATTTCCAATAAGTTGGTTATAAACGTCCACTGATCTAACAAATTTACAAAATCTGATATTAGGAGAAAGATCGGTTATTAAAATAAAGATGTAACGTAATTAATTAATAAGAGAACATTATCCCACAAACCCCTTACTCTATACTCACCTGATAACGTAATACACACGATCATCACCTGAGTATTTTTAGGTGTAACCTAACGTGTGTAGAGTGTAAAGATGTTCTAGAACACACACGTAATCGTGTGTGTGTTAAGAGGGGACCTCTAATGTTGACGTCACACCACGTGACTCACGTGACGTCACACCACGTGACCCTGCTACAAGACCAGGTGACACTATTCTAGAACACACACGTAATCGTGTGTGTGTGTGTGTGTTAAGAGGGGACCTCTAATGTTGAGTTAATCTAGTTTCACAAGAACTCAAGAGGTCTGCTAGTGTTACATCCTGGTGTGAGACGCTACTTGTGGGGGTACTTACTTAATTACATTCGGATCACTTGAGGTTATATTATCTTTTTATGCGAGCTGTAATATTTAATCGATCTAATGGTATATTTGTCTCATCATTGAATTTGGTCTATCATATTCATTGGTTTTTATAGAATATTATGTCAAATCGTAAGATCATGTGAAAATGTATTCATTTCCATCGGACATTGCTAATTTGTCATGTTACATTCCGTATGAACGCTACTGAATGTGTGTAATGCAAGGTAAGGGACGATTTAGCGTTCGTATGGAGCGTGTAAAATAGGTCACAACATAATTAGATTTCTCTCCACACGTATTGTGGTGAATATCCGTTTAGAAGTCACGTCCGTGTTCTAGAAGTCACGTACAGGAGTCACGTACACTGTTCATGTTCACTGGTCATGTTTACTGGTCACTTACACTGTTCATGTTTACTGGTCACTTACACTGTTCATATTTACTGGTCACTTACACTGTTCATGTTTACTGGTCA